AGTTGGAAGAATGAAATATATTATGAATATATTTTTTTGGGGTAAAAATAAAGTAAAAAATAGAGTAGGATTGGATATTAAACACTATTTATCCAATTTTTTACTCTATTTTTTGGGAAAAAAATAGAATTCAGTTAGAGATGATCTAGATCGTAAGTTTTATTTATCTCTCTACGTGTATTTCTTTCTCTTGATATATCCTATATGATAACTTGATATAGAAAAATAAAACTTAAATAGAACCTACATTGATAGTAGACTAAAAGGCAAAAGCTAAAACATCAATTAAAAACTGCAAAAAAGAATTAGTATTCTCGTTAAAAAAAAAACTTTATTTTTAATTTGTTTCTTATTAATCATCACTATTAGAGTCTTGGCATTTGATACAAATACATTTGAAAAAAAATGATCTATACAATAAAATATAAAACAATATAAACAAAATTAAAATACTCATTACGAGACAGTATGATCTATTCATTAAGTCATAATTTGTTATTTTATTTCATTTTTTTAACTTATATTTTAATGAAAAGTAGTTTTTTTTTGTTAAAATGTAGTTATTAATTACTATTTTATTTTGTTATATGTTAATTGTGTTATGTATTGAACATGATAAAACAAATGAGTTTCTTAACAAAAGGCAAGTCCTTCAAACCATAAATTGTTCATGGATTAAAATAGATATATGTAAGAGTTCCATTTTGATGGATCAAATTAACAACAGTTCATAATTTTGTACCAATAAATTAGTTTGTAAGTTTTTTTTCGGCCCCCTGTTCTTATTATTCGTGTTCCGGCCCTGTATGTCACCCCATTATGTCTTCTAATTAATGTTATGTCACTTGTCAACCTATTAATTCCTCATTTCAAAATTTAAATCTTTTTATACTAATAAAATAGTTCTTTTGTCATGTGTCACTCTATTATGCCTTTTAATTAATGTTATGTCAGTTGTCAACCTATTGATTCTTCATTTTAAATTTTAAATTTTAAATTTAAAATTTCTCACTCTAATTATATTAAATTAATAACATTAAAACAAAAAATAAAATAAAATTAATACATATTATAAGTTTATATAATTGTACGTATTTATTTAAATCAACGATTATAATTTTATATAATTAAAAAATAACTCTTAATTAATAATTTAATTAAAATAATTAACTAATAATTTAATTAAAATAATTAATTAATAATTTATTTAAAATAATTAATTATTAATTTGTAGTTTTTTCTATAAAAATTTAATTAATTTTATAACTGTGGTTCCCACAAGTTTAAACTAATATCCTAATAAATGAATAGTTTTAATCTTCTTTTCTCATGCCACTCTAATACACATCCTAATTAAAATCATGTCATGTGTTACTTTATTGCTTCTTAATTTTAAATTTATCCCCATAAATCAGTGGCTCAAAAAATTAGGATATAATCCCATAAAATCAGCATTTCGTTTTCAAAATGCTATAAATAATCAATTATCAAAAACCTAATCAATTTAGATACTTTAAATGATTACATGTACAAATTATGTAAAAAAAATATTTGTTTGAATGATTAATGATTATTATTCTTATAGTTTCTATGATGTTTTATTAATATCAACCAATCGTGTAGTATATGAGTTATCATCTAGTATTTTAATAAGTGAAACATAAAAATGTCACATATTTATTTTTAGAATGTCTTTCTAACACGTGACAATTTTCTATGATTTCTACCGCTTCCCCTTTTTTTGTAACAAATCAACTTCAGTTTAAAATTTTAAAATCAAAGATCTTATCTTCATAATATTTACGAAATATATGATAAAGTGTTATGTTTATTTTAACAAACTAATTCAGAATTACTTACAATCGACAATACCTTAGTTTTTTTTAACATTTTTTTATCTATATAATAATTTTAAACTTATTAACATTGGTTTCTATGGGTTATAACCTAGTATCTGTCTAAAATATTATGTCATGAACATTAACTATGAAATAATATTTTTTTATTAAATTACTTAGAATCGGGCTAACATTCTCATATGTAAAGCGGGTTATCTTTGTAGATGCAAATATGAATCTTAAAAAGTAATAAAATAAAATAAAAAAACAACCATGAAACCAATCATAGACAAAAAGAAAATTCAACAGGTGTTGTGGGACAAATCAGAAGGCGACGTCAATATGGGAACCATTCATACATTGAACAGCGGTCTGTTAGTCAAGTCGTGGTGTCGGTTAAAAATGGAGAATGATTCACTTTCGGTGAAAGCCATAAAAGGAATACACAATATCAATAATAAACCTCACAATTATTTGTCAAACAAAAGCACAAGTGAAGTGTGGAACATCATAGCTACCGATAGGAAGGACCTCAAGAAATGTGTTAGACCTTGTCAAATTGCAAATTAAATTTGGTGTCAACACAATATTTTGGTACGACTAATGGCTAGGTTCAGCAACCCTAAGTGGAAAATACATGTCCCTGTATGAGCTTAAATCTAGGAAAAAAATACTATGTGGTCGACATATTTCTCGATGGCTCCTTTAAGAAGGACGGAGTATAGGGTTTAGGCTGGCGGTCGGTATCATTAGGAAAATTACTCAAGGAGGCAACATTCCTCCTCCAATAGATAAAATTTTGATTTTTTTTAATAAAATTTCCTATTATAAATACTCTTTCTCATCATTTCAAAACTACACCATAAAATGAAAGATTTTCGTTACGAACTTTAAATATTACATGTATATCCTTTTAAATTTTAAAATAACATATACATCGTTCTAATACTATAAAATCCACGTCTATATTTATACTCATATTTTAATTATGATTAAACCAATTAAATCTTGAAATTTTTATATAAAATTCAAAATATGATATCATATCACTAAATTATCCTTCCCAAATTAAAGGTTATACTTAAATCAATAAAATATTCAAAAGGTATCGAAAGTAATGGGTTTTTGATGGAGCCTCTCTTCTCCTGTTCTTAAGAAAACATATTACACAAACATGTAAAGTTGAATTGAAACTATTTTAAACCTTTCGTCAACCTCTTTTGTTTTAAAATTCAAAGTACTAAGATAATCAAAATTCCCACTAAATGAAATTTAAGAATTTGAACTTGTTTACTCGACCATAAAAGATGATACTCGACCAAAACTGTAAAGTTTTGTTGTTCGTAGATAGGAGTTGAAGTAAAACCATAAACACAAGCTTGTAAGTCTTCCCATCAATGTAGAATTCATTCTCGCACTCACCTTTTTTGTTAACTTATATTCTTAAATAACAAACTTTAAATATCGATATCTCATTTAGATATACTCCATTTTGAACATACGATATATTATTTCAAAGTTCTCATTGAGTAGAACACAAAATCACTTAGAGTTAATTATATATATAACATATGTATATATTTATATATATGTACAAAGCTAGTAAAATACACATTTATACTAACATTTCCAACGGTTAGTTTAGTAATATTATATGATACTTTAAATTTTAGATAAATTTGGCAATATTAAATTGGTCCAATTCTAACTAAAATATGAATTTGAATATAAATGTAAATTTGATAGTTTTAGACGGAAACATATTTAATTTTAAAGTTTATAAGAATATATGTATAATATTTAAAGTTTATAGGGATATTAATGAAATTCTTCCAAAAAATGAAGTGTTTTTTTTTTTAATTTTTGTTTGTCGTTTGTAGTATGATTTTTTAGTTATTTTGTGTGACGTTTTAGGATTTAACTTATGTTATTGTAATATGGTTTTAATTTATATTATTGTAGTTTTTTAATTAAATGTTATTTTTAATATTGTTTAATATATTTTTTGGTTTTAAGTTAGTGTAAGTTTATTTTAAAGATTAAAAAAATTATAAAAAAAAAAAATTATGTTTTATTTTATTTTGAATTTTCTAAATAAATTAAAATTTAAAATATTAGTGTGGCAAATGGGTCGAGTAATTTGGAAAAGATACTACTCCCATTAGAATTTTACTTTTATGTTTCAATTATTTAAAAGCCTTAATAATAACTGAAATTATAAATATAACATTTAATAAAAAAACATACATTAATTTATAAAATATAAAATGATATGATTAAAACTAAAACTTATATAATTAAAAATAAAAATTACAAAGTTAAAACTATAAACTAAGCTTTGTCGTCCTAGTTACATGCTCCATTAGATCCGAAGATAGTTATGTGTTTCATTGGAATGTATTTCTATAACTCTCGATGCGTATTCTAGGGTACCAAGTACAAATTCTCCATATAAATGAAGTGATTTTTTATGGATTATACATTCAAGTTTTTTTTTGTACGATTGGTTGTAAAAGAAATAAAAAAGAAGTTGCTATGAAAGTATTTGACTGAAAATGCATGAAAGCTGGATAAATTAAGCGAGTTGGACACTGCTGGTTTATCAAGGTCCAGAGGATTAAAAGTGGAATCAATGAGGACTAAATGTTCAAACACATAAGACTTAAAGGACTAAATACGCAATGTGTGCATCTATTAATAACATCAGGAGGGTTCAGAGTTCTAATTTTTGTATTTTTTTAAATAATTCAAGGCTGTTTTTGACATCTAAAATTAATTTGATTCATTTCTTGAAAGAGATTGTTAAACTGATATAATTTTACATAAAGTTTGTATATTTGCACATGGTAGCATAAATTAGTTTATAAGAAAAACATTCAATTAATTACAAAAAAACAAAAATACAAAATCACAATTCACAAAAGAATCAAAATTAAAACTTACCTGTGGTCTGTAGAAAAAACGCATATGCAGATACAATAAGGGTTGCTAAGGTAGAGAGAAGAATATCAATTTGGTAAAGGACGAGATATTTATATTCAGTGAAGCAAATTAACAAACACCTGGTGATCAAAAATCATTAGCTACTCAATTACACATGAACATCTGAAATCATGGAATCCACAAAAATAAACACACTTGCACTCCAAACTTGATGAATCCCTAAACTTGTTCATCAACTTCGTCATGATCAGATACAATAACACCATCACCTTCATACCCATTACCCAATTCGCAAATCTTCTCCCAAACATCCACCGGCACAGGAACGACGGATAATCTAGGCTGCCTAAACAACCCAAATTCTTTACTGTTCTTCAGTTCTCCCTTCATCTCCTTCAGATCCACCGGGTTCCTCATCTCCCCCACCGCCTTCACGTCTACAGCGCCACAACCAGCGTCGTCGTCTTCGTACCATTCACGGACAACGGTGACAACCCCTACTATACAGCGGGATTTTGTGCCGGAATGGTAGAAGAAGCAGAGATCGTGGAGCCGTGCGGATTTGAGATTTTTGAGAGCTTGGTGGTTCTTGACGCCGTCCCATTTGGAGAGACCTCCGTTGGATGCTTGGTCGTTCCATGACCATTCCCCTGGCTCAGTTTTTAGCAGCCAGTACTGTTTTTCATCTCTTTTCGTCTTCTTCCCCATTTTCTTCCGTTCGTTCGTCGATACCTACAAATTATAGATTTCAACTTTCACCTTTTTAGAGGAAATTTGGGTTGATTCATGGCGGGAATCGGGTGCCTTGGATATTGGCGCCAATTTAAGCAAAAAGTTGTGATATATAACCCGTGGAATTTTATAATCATTATTGATAGGCAAAAAAAAAAAAAAAAAAAAAAAAGAATATGAACAAGAAAAATAATGTGCAACTTTAATTGTAGAAAAACATGAAATAATGTGAAGTTTTATATATTACAGAACTGTATTTTCAAAGTACATTGCTATAAGTTGTAAAGTTGTTTTAATTAAAAAATAGACAACAAAAAAATGACATTAATGTTATTAGCGAAAATAAATATATTTTTATTGAAAAAATGGTAAGGGTAAAATGTTCCTTTAGTTTCTATGTGTACAAAATAAGTAGTTTCATGGGCAAAACAGAAAGAGCATTGTACTTTCATAGGTGAAGCAAAAAATAACATTGTAGTTTCATGGACAAACCAAAAATAACTTTGTATTTTGTAAGGTTAAGACTTGTTTGTAAACTGAAACTACAATTATGAAATGGTACTTAAAGGTACAATGCTTAAATAAGAATAATGTAAAAGTAAGACATTGCAACTTGTTACTTTGACAAAATACATAATTTCATAAGGAACAAATTATGCAAATAATCAAGCAAATGGTAAAATAACTTAAATCAAATACAGAACGTACTATGTTGTTGTATTTAAACATATAGAAAATGTTTATTAATGTTCTTCTCAAATTTCCTCATTAAACACTATACATTGAAAAATAACTCAAAACTTTGACTGATTTTGAAATTCACAGTAATTCATTTCATTTTAAATATGTTTCTGAAATAGTTTTTCATTCAACAGTAGCCTAAATCAAAGCAATGTAAACTCATATGATTTTTCATTTAATAGCATTGTACTTCCTATTTATGTCATATTATGTGTATGTTTTTTGCAAATGAAAGTATGTTCGTATGAATTGACTAATTTTAATAATCACAATGACATAAAAAGATGAAAATATAGTTATTACTCTCTCTCTCTCTCTCTCTCTCTCTCTCTCTATATATATATATATATATATATATATATATATATATATATATATATATATATATATATATATATATATATATATATATATAGCACGCCTTCGTATTCTTATTTCTATGGAATTATAATTGGGGAATCAATAGAGATTTAAGCAATATATCCCTTATATAGAGCACCTTCATATTATTGTTTTTAGCTTCAAAAATATACACATTAAACCTTTTACATCACTAAAGAGATTAGTCAAAATTAGAGTGAAAAGGATGTTAATCTTGTATAGTCCAGTTTGTACATCCTAAGTAGGATGCTAAATTGATAGTAAATTAATATATATATATATATATATATATATATATATATATATATATATATATATATATATATATATATATGAACGTATAAACAATTACCATTTCCATATTTTGATAAACAGAGAATCAAACCATTGTAGTATTAGAAACTTTTGAAGTTAGATGTCAGATTATCTTATTCATTTGGTTTTTAATTATTTGTATGAATCATGTATCTCTTCCAAAAAAAAACATTGTATCAATCCTTTACCGACATTTGGTTTTGAATAGTGTTTGGAATCAAGTAAAAAAGTATATATATTTTTTGCAGAAGTTTTAAAGTTTGTTTTCTTATTAAAGCATTCCACTTTATGAGTAGAATGATATATATATATATATATATATATATATATATATATATATATATATATATATATATATATAGGTAGCCTTTGAAAGTATAATGTATGTGTTTGTATTTCTATGTATATTTGGGGTTGTGTGTATGTGTGCTCCTGTGTATGTATGATTGTATATATGTGTATTGGTCTAATAAAAGTAAGAATTGAAAATATGTTACTATAAAAGAATAAAGAGTATAGAAACTACCGGTTATAACATTTCTGCTACATGCATATAATCTGCAGTAAACATAAAAGAACAAACTTCAAAGTGAAAATTGTTTAGGATATGAAAAACAGAAAACAGTCAACCTATAGTGCATGGCATGAGATGGTTAATGAGCACATCTTTGATCTTCCACTTACATAATTATGAAATCGCTAAAACTAATGAATTATATTTATAGTTTATATATTATTCAAAATAACATATAAAGGGGACTATACATTTCTATTTCTTTTTTAAACCATGTTACTTTAATAACATGTAGTCAATCAAATTAATCATAAAGGGTAAATTATTTATTGCCTTAATTATAATCATATCTTGAAAAGAAATAATATTAATAAAAACAGAATGGTATTTACCTCTCTTATAGTCTAGTAACATGTATTGGAGTCAAGTTCCATGTATGAATTAACTTGCCTCAAGGCTCAACTGTTTGAGCATAAAAGATGCATGTGATATAAAATATATGTTAAATCCATAAGAAATCTCAACTTTATGATAATGATGAATAAAATTTATACATCATAGATATCATTGCTTTCAGGACCATTAACAACCATGCGGACTGATGTTTCTAGTTTTGAAGAAGGTTTTCTCACATAGGTTTCTTGTAAAATTGAAGACTATTAAAGACCCACTTCAATCTACTCCTTTAAAGATGGCCAGGGGTTAGTGCTCTATAACTTGGTTACCACCTCTTACCTTTAAAAACCATTAAATAAATAAACAAGTGAAATCATGATACACGACCCATAGTGTTAATAATAATCATCTAAAATAATTAACTTAGAATCCAAAGAGGATAGTCTAGATATATTCATTTTAACCATGAGTAGAACAACCATAATCCTTACACTCTCATGCACTTCAATATTTATAAAATTAAATGCAAATGTTAAGTGATTAAGCTTTCTTTGTTCATTAATGATCCTAGGCCAACCAGACTTCCATAAACCAAAAAAAAAGTCATAAATAATAAAGCTTACTCATTGTAAGAGTAGGAGGAGAAGTTCTAGAGATGCGACCAAAATCTATCCATTCTTTGGGATGCATAATGGAAAACAGATAATACATTAATATCATGTTCCACATGAGTAAAATTCCTCATAGATTAAAAAAAGAACAAAAAGTAAAACTCATCGTATTATTTTGAAAATAATGTTTTCGTCTAAAAAAATTAGACGAAAAGCCAATACGATTCACAAACCTAATATCAAATCACCAGTTAATACAATATTGCAATTTGAAAATAACAATTACCAACCTTCAACCAAAGACTCTTCAGGTGTAGTACGCTCAGGTCCAACCAAACTTATGTTCAATGATCCTATTTAAGAGGACACACAAAATGCACAAATTGGACCTGTTAGAAATTACTCAACAAAATATAAGTTAAATGTGGAAAGGGGAAATTGAAGTGTGATAATCAAAATTAAAAATCATAGGCTGTGATACTCTTCAAATGAAATTGTATTAGAAGAAATCAACAGAGTGGCAAGAAAGAATTGGGATAAATAAAGCATCAAAGATGGATTAAATCAACGTATAATTTCTTTCGATTTCCTTTCAAAAAACAAAATCAAGATTAAATAGGAAAAAAACAAAACAAACAAAATAGAAAAGCAAAGGGAAAATGACTTAAAAAGGTAATGAAGTTTCAAAAATGTACAAAAAATATCATTATTTTATTTTTAGTACTCAAAATACCATTAAAGTATATTTTTTATACACAAAATACCAATGAAGTACACATGTGTTCAAATAATACCTTGTAGGTAACCTACAATACCCGGCAAAATGGTATTTTGTGTAAAAAAAATGGTCTTTTTTGTACATTTTTGAAACTTTGTTACCTTTTTAAGTCATTTTTCCTTCTTTGAATGTAATGGAAATTTAGCTACTTTTTATAAAGAACCCTCCACTTCACTTCGGCCACTACTGTTGTTCATCGCCACCCTCCACCACCATGGCAAAACCCTTTTTCTTATTCTTCCTCCTAATCATCTGCCTACTTTCATCAACACCGGAATCTCACCGGCCACCTCCGTTTCTCGGCAAATCCCACGGCTTCTCAAAACTAAAAAATTCTTGTTCAGCCGAAGTACACTTACGAGACACGATACTTTGATCAGACTCTTGATCATTTCAGTTTCAATGATCTTCCCAAGTTCCAACAACGTTATCTCATCAACTCCGATCACTGGGTGGGCCCAGACCCTAGTCGTTTGAGCCCAATCTTCCTTTATTGCAGCAACGAAGGCGACATCGAATGGTTCGCTGCCAACACCGACTTCGTTTGGGAACTCGCCCCTCGTTTTGGTGCCATGGTCATCTTCCCCGAAGTAAAAGCCCTAATCACTATACTCTACATTAATTTGTTCACTTGTAGACCTTTAATTATACAATTTTATCAAAAGCTGCGTGATTTGATCTAGCATCGATATTATAGTGAATCGATGCCATATGGAAGCCAGAAAGAGGCATACAAGAATGCTTCTACTTTAGCTTATCTAACAGCCGAACAAGCACTTGCTGATTACGCTCTTCTCATCACCAATTTGAAGAAAAATTTATCAGCCGAAGCGTCACATGTAATCTTGTTCGGCTGATCATACGGTGGAAGTAAGATCTTTTCCAACAATTTCAACAAAAATTAAACAAGCACTTGCTGATTACGCTCATCTCATCCCATTTACCTGACGTACCTGGTTACCACAATGTTTTAGTTGAACACATGTGTATTTTGTTGGTATTCTGTGTACAAATAGTAACATTAATGGTATTTTTTGTACTAAAAAAACAACAATGGTATTTTTTGAACATTTGGAAACCAGATAACCTACAAAAGCCGATAAAATGGTATTTTGTGTACCAAAAAAAAAAACAACAATGGTCTTTTTTGTACACTTTTGAAACTTCGTTACCTTTTTAAGTGTGATAATCAAAATTAAAAATCATAGGTTGTGATACTCTTCAAATGAAATTGTATTAG